TATATATTTTATATTTTTTATTTTATAAAAACTATATGTTAATATAGATAATTTCCTAACATTAGTAAGTGAATTTAGAAATAAATTCACTTACTAACTTCTATTTAATCAGAATCATTTTATTTCTTACTTATATTGATTTTCCTCTCTTTAATAACCAGTACAGCTAAATTGTTCACCCATTGTCAAAAATAAAGAAATTTAGTTATGTACACAGAAACATCTAGATACTTATGTTACCATTATTTTATCTAAATAGATATATTCAAGATTTTTTTCACCCATGTTATTTTATATGGATAAAAATTTTTTTACTTTAGTTTTTTAAACAGTAATTTAAGTTTTTAAAAAGTTTATAAGTTTAATTACTGTATAACAACACATACATCAACAAAAAAAAATTTTATTTGTTGATGCATAGATTGATTTTTAGGCTTTCAACATTAACTTGAGATACCATATTTAATTTATGCCATCTTTAGCATTTTTTATTTATATAATTTGTACATATATATATTATTTTTTAAAAAGCAAGTTTATGCTTTGTATCACTTAAATATAAAATTTACTTTAGTTTCAATTATACTAAGATTTTGATTTGTTAAGTATATTTTTGTGAATAATAATTTTTATTAATTAAAACAATGTGCATTACCTGAATAATCAGAAAGCAGTGTAGCACAAATTACATTTGGTCTTCTGCATTGAGGTGGTTTATAATAACTATTTTCGCATTCTGGAAATTGGCAATAGTATTTTTTGTTATTATAAAATGCATAACGCTTGAGTTCTTTTTCAGAAATATCAAACAGTGATGAAATTTCCTCCTTCTGGAAAGCTCTCCAATGGTCAAGAATAGTATTATTTTCTTGCCATAATTTATGTACAAAAGACAATGATAGGTACCAACCAGTCCTGTTAATGCAAACATAAAATCAGAAATTAGATTTTATTAAAAGTTAAAAATAAATCTAGTATGTGATTCTTATACCTTCCAATTGGTCCCAAAGGACCACAGTCTGCTACATTTCCTGTTTGAACCCATTTTTCAGTGCTATTTCCTGGTCCCAGCCATACTTCAACATTTATCATAATATTTGGTACAAAGTTTTTTGATTTCTCTGGACATTTTCTAGAAATATAAGATTGTGAAATTATTTTAAGTAATCGCAGGAAAATTTAATGCAAACAGTTAAAAAAAAACTTACTCTGGGATTTTACAACCAGATATCTGTTGTAAAGTTGAGATAGAATTCCCTCCTTCAGTGGAAACCAAACGAACATCTGCATATCCTAGAACTTCTTTTAATAAGATGATCAAAATTTGTGATACTAATTTATGTGTAACCCTGTTGCTTACTTCTATAGTAATATTAAGATCCCTTCCAACATAGAAAACTTTAGTAGGAGCTACATTGACTAGATGAAAAAATACATATCATTATTAATAAAATATAATTTAAAATAATCATTTAATTTTTATTACATATTAGTAAACTTTTTCAATATCAAATTTTTTACTTATCATTACTTATAAACATTAAACATTGTTTTCATAAATCAATAAAACAAAATAATAAAAATAATGAGAAAATAAATTTTATATAATGTTGTGTAATGAATCCCTTATAAATATTGGATTTACCAATAGAATTTATAAATATATGTAATAACTAATGACTATAAAATATACTGTGTCTGCCTGTGTATATGTGCATGTGTACATGAGTATTTGCTTTGTATTTAGAAATTTTATATTAAGATATTAAAATATGATGAAATGATACATTTTGTTAGAATGACCCTGTTATTTAAAATATGAAGTTATTTCAATGACTATTATAAAAAATTATCATTAAATTTGATAAGTTCGTTGTAAATTCGTAAAGTTTTTTGAATATGAAAATGCAAGAAATAAAACAAGATGAATTTATTATTTAAAAAGATATTTTAACAATAAGTATGATTCAACTTATTATTATTATTATAATAAAAATATTTTAATTAATTTTAGTAGCAAAAACATCCTGTTGCTTCAAATATGTCAGCATACTAGTGCATTTTGTTTAGTGTCTCAATAAAAAGTAATGAAATCAATATTTTCAATATTGATGCAATAGTATTTCAACATAAAATTAGGATACTGGAACCATTAGAAGCAATTCCACTGAATAAATATACAGAATATTTTTGATAATCATTGTCAAATAATTAATATAACATACAATAATGATAAAAATCTTGTAATCATTCTTCATTATCCTCATTTTCCTGACTGGATTAAAATACAATCAGGTTTATATTATTTATATAATTTTAAAATTATAGCCAGTTTATATAACTGCTTTAATGATGAAACTGATTTGAAAAAATTCAACAACTATTGATAGTTACCATTATTTTCAAGGCAGGTTGGTTCACTGTTGACAGAGCACAGAGGCAGAATCAGTGCAATCACCGTCCACCAGACGTTGATTAGCATCATAATAAGTCGACTTCCATTGTCATCAGAAACTCTTCTTCGAAGAGACACTGGAAAAAAAAAAGATTTTAAATTTATATGCTACTAAATGCTGGGCATTAACATCCTAACACATTCAAGGAAACCGCGCCTCTGGTTTCCGCTAACTTTCAAATCGCTTTCCCTAGAAATTTCAGGGAGGGCAAAATATTTTCGTCCAAAATAAATAGATACCTATTAATATTAGAAGCGATAAAGTATTGATCGTAAAAAAAGTCTATTTTAACGCCAATTTGTCAAATTATACTTTCCGGTTTCTTATTTAGAGCAGGGTGTTCCAACGCTTTTTGCGATTTCAGGACGTACAGTATTAATTATAGGCTATGCCCTGACGTTCAGGAGTAATAAATTATGAAATCATCGTTAGAATTCCTCAAACATTTCGGAAATTATTTAAAAATCCGGTATGGAAGGGAACCCCCAAAAAAACTGCACGAGTCATAAATTGAACCATATTGTTTTAGAAGAGTGAATGTAAAATATAATCTATATATAGAAATTTAATTAATAATGCAAAGTAACAATTGTAACAAAAATAAGATAAATTAATTAGTCAATTNTAAACTATTAGACGTAAATAATTATAAATATTTAGGATATAGTTTCAACAAAAAATATATATTATATTATACAGTAGAGAGCAAAACTAGAATTGTTTTAGTAAAGAATATATTTATGAAAATGGAAAGGGTTTTATGTAATATTAACTAAATTTGCAGATTAGAGAAAGAATATTAAAATGCTATGTATGAAATGCATTATTATATGGTTTGAAAGTTACACATAGTAAACAACTATCCAATATATTCATATTGTTAAACAATCCCCAATATATAATCTGGCAGTCATTTGGTTTGAAAGTTGAATGTTATAAAAGATATAAAATAAAATGATCAGATATATTCAAAATGTGGATGTACTGTACAAAGAATTTAAGAATAGTTAAGTGCAAAGGATTACAAATAAAAAAGTATTATGGAAAATGAAGAAAAGAAAAGAATTAACAACTGTTATAAAGAAAATGAAATTGGTATACTTTGGATATATTCAAAGAAATTCAGTATACCATATCCTATAACTAAATGGAAAATGAAAGCTAATAAGAAAAAGACTTGATACACAAGGATGTACTAGAAGAAGAATCAAATTTTTGCTTATCAGGTATGCAATAAATGTACTTTGGTTGTTTTTCTCAATTGCACAAGAAGGAAAAATCTTGTAGGGATATATTAAAAGATGAATTAAGAAATTAGGTATATTAAAAATATCTTAGCAAATTCAACTTTTGAACAATAAACATTTTAAAAGCATTGTTATGAAATTTTGTAATTAGCATTCAGTTGTTTTTAAGCATAATACACTTAAAAATTATTATGAATGCACCTTGATTACTCTATTCCAGCTTCATTACCAACACTGGCATTTCATTTTCAACTATCCATGCCTGAAGATGGTCTGTTAATCAGGTTGAAAACAATTAGTTTTCTTTAAACTGCACCCATTGTTAAAGATGCATTGATTAATTTGGCTGAGACAACAGTTACTAGTTCATTCTTATTTATATGATTTTCTTTATTGTTAATTTTGTTAAAATTTAAAAATGTTTAATCAAATAGGTTAGGGAACATTTTTGTTAAGTAACATAAAACAACAGAAACCCTTTAAGATGCAGTCTTTTTATTTAAACTTCTAATGTTTTCAATCTACTTTATTTATAAAGTAGACTGTGCTTGCCAGTTACATCACCTGGAACTCGAAGCAATTCTTTGCTTCCAGACGTATTTAAACTTTAGATATACCCATGAATAATTGCATATGGTTATATCTAAAGTTTAAATATGTCTGGAGTGAAGAATTGCTTGGAAGTCCAGGTGACATAACTGGCAAGCACACTACATAGTAAGAGGAGGTTGCGGGTCCCACTCTGGGCTAGTTCTTTTTCCAGACAGTTCTAAATTATTTAATAAATTATCTAAATTAATAATTATAATTTTTAATAAGAGATGGTGTCTAACATCTACCTCTAATACAAATTACTTTTACTTAATATCTTATCATTAATAATAGCAAATTTATAGCCTGATTAATTAAGGCAATTATTTGGTTGAGTACCAAAAATTACATTAAAATAATGATACAGTGATTTCCATAAAATTGGTATAAAGAATTAATAAATTTGTGAGCAATATTTTATTTTTAAGACAACTGTGTTACATTAATCCTCAACACTATTAAGGATAATCTAACATTCTATAAAGGGATAACCAATGTTCTGGAATGTCCAGAATTGGGTGATTGCATAGCTGTATGCAGTTAATAAGTACAGATTTCCACATATAAAGTACTCATTGATTTTTATTCTGTTTGAGGAACTGTGTATCGGCCCAGACAGGATTAAAATTAGATGTTAAAGCTAATTTCGATAGCTCAGTAGTCTGTTTACCTTGTCTTATATCCTTCTGATGTTCTTTCAGACAGCATGCTAGTGTTCTAGCCATAGTATGTAGTAACATTGTTCTGTATATCTTTATGAGTTAGTTGATAATCACCTGACTTTTTACAAGTTAAAATTTTGCTACGCTAGAGTATTCTGGAGGATGGGCTTGGGTGTAACCAGGACCATTAGGTTGTATGAATTGAATAGTCTTGCAATTGTTAGTGAAAAGCTTGCCCAAATAAGAGATAGTTCCACCCACAAATTCTCTTTTCTTCTTAGTAAATGTAGTTTAAATGGGGAATAACAACTGTAACAATGTGTGTCTAGAAATTTGAACTTTTGGCCTATGTACAACTGGCATCCACAGTGGTGGCAGCAACTTATTCTAATTCTGTTAAGAGGTATAAAGATATCCACATGGCTTGGCAGGCATTGATGGACTCTGAACTGTAATTGCTAAGATCTGGTTACCCTACAGGTGTGCATGCATGACTCATATTACACTTTCATTTATTTTTTCACATATACCCTTAACTGATCGCTCCGTCCCATCAGAAACTCCCTTTTCACCTGAGGAAGAACTCGCAGCAGTTCGAAAACGTTTGTGGTGAACTTTTTATTTTGTTTTTTCGTCACACCAGAAATAGGTTCTAGGAGTACAATTTTTGTAACACATCCTGATGTTATTGTTGTTGTTGATATAAAGATATATTCTTCATATTACTGTAGTGCACAAATTTCTGCATTTTTGTGTAAAGATGGTAGCTGCTATGATAATTGGATTTTTCTTTTAATTTTATGATATACTTTGAAGCAAAGAACTAGTTCCTCTCTAAATATGGCTAAATCAGGAACAGATATCACATATTCCTGATCTTTTTTTTTCTAATGTATATTTGATTGATAGATAGATGTTGGATAGATGCTGTACAAAAGATAATAGTTCCTGATATGTGCCTTCTCACACAATTAATGCATCATCTATATATCTAAGATTTAAAAGGAATAGGGGATGAAAGAGAAGTTGAGAATAATCTAGATTCTAAGTATTTTTGCTTCTTGTCTGTGATTAATGTATCGTGATATGTTGTAAATTTAGCTAATTTTTAGACTTATCATACTCAAGGTGTGACAAATGTAAAAATTAGCCAAATTTAGGCCACATTAAGATAAAATCTAGGTTCTATTCTTTCATAATTAATTATCATTAATATTAGCATATTGATGATAATGGGGAATCCATTGACATGCTCTTTTTTGAAAATAGTATTTATTAGCAAATGAAAATAATTGTTTCTAATTGCAGTGAATAGAAAGCTTTCCTTAATTTATTATTTGTTGGACTATGAGACCCTGTTCAACTAAGAAGATTTGAGAATAGAAAATACAAAAATAGGAAAATAATAATAAAAATGAATTTTTAATAGGGAACAGAATTTTTTTAGTTTCATTCACTTGTTTTGGAAGATACAGTTGTTTTTGAATGTTAATAACTTAAAAACATTTTACTTTAAATTGTTAAAGAAATTGATATTTATCATTTGAAAAAGTTTAAAAATAACTGTTTAGATATCATATGATTTAAACAGCCAGAATCACCAGATATGTTTGATTTCAAATAGCGATTGAATAACTGAAATTATTTAGGTGAAATATAATACAACTTGTCATGTCACAAGTGTGTTATGATTCACTGTCTTTAATAACTATAAATTCCATTTTAGTTATTCCTATAAAAAACTTATATCCAAGCAAAAATATCCAAAATGTAAAAAATTTCACCAAGTAAAAAATTTATGACAATTTAGATGACAGTCAAATTTTTTCTCAGGAGTTTTTCTTTGTTAAACACAAGCTTGGTGCTTTTTTACCCACAAGATTTTTTATCTATTATATTATTTTCTACATTTGACTTCAAAGTGTCAAGCTTATCTTTAACAAAGAAAAACTAATAAAAAATTTGACTGTCATCTAAATTGTCATAATATATTTTTTTACTTGGCACAAGTGTTTTACATCTTAGATGTTTTTCCTTGGATATCAATTGTTTTTGGTTAATGATTATATTATTACATCAAGTCCTAAGATGATGACACAGTACAGTTGGCATTTGGTGACTGCCTCCAACTGAATGCTTTTGATACACTGTTTAGTAAAATCATCATAAAAAGTTTTAATTCACATAAATTTGAGTGTTTGTTAGTCTGGATAACATTTTGAATAAAAATTATTCATTTCTATGCAATTTTATCCTTATAAGCATAAAATTAAGTGATAAAAGTAAAATAGCTCTATGAGGAACCTCTGAACTGTAACCTATTGACCCAGAAGTTTCACAAACACCTCATTGGTAACAAGAGATATTTAAGTTTAAAATTTGAGCTTTGTAGACCCAGTAGTTTTTCTCTATGAGTATCTGCAGTGTTGGATGAAGAAGAAAATACAGCATTTTTTGTGATTTTTGCACTTTTTAATTGCTTATATTTTGCCATTCTTTTAATAGAAAAATCTGAAATTTTGGACACTACATAAGAAAATAATTATACTTTGAATGAGAATTACTTTAGAATTACTTTAGGTGTTTGGGGGGCAAAGAAATGAACTCCCAAAAATTGGCAACTCTAATTCCGGTATATATAGTCAATCAGTGACTTTACTTGGCTTTGAGTCACTGCCATGACTCTCAATGTTTCTAGAATCTATTAAATTAAATTGATCTAATAATGTTATCATCTTGTTTAAATATCAAACAAAAATATTTTCTAATATATTTTTATGGATAACTCACAAATCATGCTAATATGACATTATGGTGTGATTTAGGTTACATAGGTAATATAATTTTATTTATTTTATCTATATTAGGAAATGTTGCTGGACAGCAGATCTACTCCCTTGATAAATAATAAGATCCATAACAAAAAAGATAAAATACATAAAAAGAAAATCAACCAACATAATAAAACATAAATGAAAATTGGACAAAAAATGTTAAAAATATTAAATACTTATAATGCTAAACATAAAAATTTAAAAACAATATAATAACTGAGATGGAGTACAGGATATTGCCATAAAATTCATTTGCATAAAGTGTGAAAGAATTGAAATGCAATAGAATATGTAAATAAAGGCATGTTTACAAACTATTAGGAAATATATAATAAATGTCAACAAGATGTTTTATAATGTAAAAAATCAATGTAAAGCATGTCTTCTACATTGTTCATGTTTCCAGCTATGTGGTAGAAAAAGATCTATGTGAAATATATAAGCGATAAAAAGGAGTAAAAATACAAGTGGTGTTACATGTATACTTTACAGGTATTCTAAGACGAAGGCAGGAAGCCGGAATAAAATCATTAAAATATTTATAATAGAGTATGCGATCATAGTATTTGATTCTTCATGCATATTGAGAAAACCTAGCCTGAACCTTGCAACGTTTGGATTGTTAGTAAACAGTAGATTAGTAGATTAGTTAGTTTATTTAACAATAAATATATCTTATCAAGTTCTTTCAAAATTTTAATTTTGAAAGAACTTTGACAAGGAAATTGGCTTAAACTGAATAATACTAATCAGAACTTATAAAACTTATAAATTACTTATGTAACTTATAAACTTATGTAACTTATAAATTACAAATTATGAGGTGTCAAATTGCAATTTATCAAATCAACTATTTTTAAAATTTTATTCTGTTTATTGTTTGTTTGGCATTTTTTTTTTTGTTTTCAATATAAACTAGCAACATGTACTATTCAATATTAAACACAAAATAAATGTACTGTACAATGCATTAAATTATTTTAGGTATTTTCCTTTAAATATCCCTTTTTATCATATTGTTATATTATGAACAGGCTTAAGAGATAGATATTTAATTAATTTTGGGCAATGATGAAATTAATTCAATTATTTAAAGTTTTATATAACCTAAATTATTGATAATTAATGTTAAGTAAATAATAATTAATTGATGTAAAATGAATAAATTGTTTATTATATAGTTTTTTACATTGAAGGCTTCAGAATGAAATAATTTTAAAAATTTACATTTTAATATGAAAATGTTAATGAATTGATTTTTTTTTTTTTTTTTTT